AACACTGCGCCAACTCCTTACCTCACCACCCGTACTGCGTCATTACGACCCCACTGCGCCGACCGAAGTACACACGGATGCAAGTGGCGTCGGCCTTGGTGCAGTACTCGCGCAACGCAAACCAGGTTTTACGGAGTATGTGGTCACCTATGCCAGCTGCGCCCTCACTAAGGCAGAAGCCAACTATTCTGTTACTGAAAAAGAGTGCCTGGCGATTGTGTGGGCGTTAAACAAGTTTCGCCCCTATTTGTACGGCCAAACTTTTGACGTGGTAACAGACCATCACGCACTCTGTTGGTTGGCTTCACTGAAAGATCCTTCTGGTCGCCTCGGACGTTGGGCACTACGCCTCCAGGAATTTGACATACGCGTCGTCTACCGATCGGGGCGAAAGCACTCTGACGCAGATGCGCTTTCACGATCCCCCGTGAAATCTGAGGAATAGGAAATATCAGCCCTTGACCTTCCCCTCTACTCCGTCAGCGTCACAGACATGCCATCTGAACAGCGGAAAGACCCTTGGATTCTCTCGCTCTTGAATATGCTTTCTGACGCATCAACTTCCGGTTACCCTCGTGCTCTTCGCCGCCAAGCAACGCATTTCGCCATACGAGATGGCCTGTTATACCATCGCAACTATCAAGTGGTGGGTCGTAAATGGCTGCTAGTCATACCCAGCCTTATGCGCTCTGATATCTGCGAATATTTTCATGCTGAGCCTCAACACGCACACGCCGGTGCGCTAAAGACGTATGAACGGATCCGCCAACGTTACTACTGGCGGGGTATGTACACGTTTGTACACAAACACATTCGCTCATGTTCCCTGTGTCAGCAGCGCAAGACATTCCCTCATTCACCCGGTCAACTGCAGCCTTTACCATGTCCTGCACGCCCATTTGACCGCGTTGGGATTGACCTATACGGCCCGCTACCGTGCTCTGTTGGTGGTAATCGATGGGTGATTGTGGCTGCCGACCATCTGAGAAGGTACGCCGAAACGGCAGCGCTACCTTCGGCTGGTGCTCGTGACGTTGCAACCTTCATCTTGCATCGGTTTGTTCTTCGTCATGGTGCACCACGGGAGCTCCTGAGTGACAGGGGCCGTGTATTCTTGTCCGAAGTTCTGCAGCAGCTCTTACATTCATGCCACACGGTACACCGCACATCAACAGCCTACCACCCTCAGACGAACAGCCTAACGGAACGTTTCAATAGAACTCTCGGAGACATGCTCGCTATGTATATTGATTCGGACCACTCCAATCGGGACGTTGTCCTTCCTTTCGTGACGTATGCCTACAATACGGCGATTCAATGAACAACGGGCTTTTCTCCATTTTTTCTTTTATATGGTCTTGACCCATGCAGCACACTCGACACAATTCTGCCATACAATCCTAATGCCTCCGAGTTCAGCCCAGTTTCTGAAATGGCAGAACATGCCGAAGAGTGTCGTCAGCTTGCACGGTCCTTCACAGCCGATAATCAAGCCCTCCAAAAAGATCGCCACGACCGTGATCTTGTTCAGGACACATTCCCCATCGGGTCTCTCGTGTGACTCCGACTGCCTTTCCACTCTCCTGGACTGACTCCCAAGTTTGCACCGAAGTATACGGGCCCTTACCGCGTCATACAGCATCCTTCTTCTGTCACCTATGTGATTGAACCGCTCAAGCCATCCACGGACAAGCGCCGCCTTGGTCATGAGACGGTCCACGTCAGTCGCCTCAAGCCCTGCTACGACCCTCCTGTTCTCTCGTCACCTTGAGTCGCCAGGATGGCTCGTCTTGGTCGCCGGGGTATTGTAGTGGGAAATTCGCAAAGCACTGACTAGTGGGACCATCTCTCTCGGAGTGCGAAGCGCGAGTGTGTGCACGAGCTGTAGACGCTGGACGGCTAGAGAATTTCTGTCCGTACCGGCTGCCTGCCTACTACCTGGTGTCGCTACTAAACTCCCTTGCAATATATATATATATATATATATATATATATATATTATATATATATATATATATATATATATATATACATATATAAGGGAAAGAAGTGTATACCTAAGGGCTCGTTTTTTCCGTGTTTTGGCACAATATTAATGAGATCTGACAAACAGTAATGCCAAGGAATGTACAGGGGAAGTTATTAGAACCAATGGAAATGGAATGTAAATAAGAAGAAAGAAAAGTGCATGAAAATAACCAGCCGTGAGCAGGACTGCTCACGGCTGGTTATTTTTTCATCCACTTTTCTTTCTTATTTACATTTCATTGGTTCTAATAACTTCTCCTGTACATTCCTTGGCATTACTGTCTGTTAGATCTCATATATATTATATATATCTATATATATATATATATATATATATATATATATATATATATGGTGACCACTGCACACATTCCGGCGCAGCCAATTTCTCGCCAGTGATAAGAGCGGCGTGACACGGCCACATGCTGCAACGCGCGCGTCCGATAATGGACAGCACCACCGCTCTTTCACCGGATGCTGACGTCACCACAGGCGGCTATCAAGCTTCGTTTCGATGATGTTTCATCCACTTTTCTTTCTTATTTACATTTCATTGGTTCTAATAACTTCCCCGGTACATTCCTTGGCATTACTGTCTGTTAGATCTCATATATATAATATATATATATATATATATATATATATATAATATATATATTATATATATATATATAATATATATATATATGGTGACCACTGCACACATTCCGGCGCAGCAATTTCTCGCCAGTGATAAGAGCGGCGTGACACGGCCACATGCTTGCAACGCGCGCGTCCGATAATGGACAGCACCACCGCTCTTTCACCGGATGCTGACGTCACCACAGGCGGCTATCAAGCTTCGTTTCGATGATTGTTTCATCCACTTTTCTTTCTTATTTACATTTCATTGGTTCTAATAACTTCCCCGGTACATTCCTTGGCATTACTGTCTGTTAGATCTCATATATATATATATATATATATATATATATATATATATATATATATATATATATATATATATATATATATATATATATATATATATATATATATATATATATATATATATATATATATATGGTGACCACTGCGCACAGTCCGGCGCAGCCACTGTCTCGCCACTGATAAGAGCGGCGTGACACGGCCACATGCTGCAACGCGCGCGTCCGATAATGGACAGCACCACCGCTCTTTCACCGGATGCTGACGTCACCACAGGCGGCTACCAAGCTTGGTTTCAATGATTGTTTCTCCAATCGTTCGAGCGCAGCATCGGCACGGTTGCCCTGCTGTTGCTATATGCTTGTTAATAAACATCGTTACGTTTTATGTTGCGATCCATCCTTCACCGACTCTGCATCCCACATCTGGTGACCCGGGATTGGAACTAACCACACCACCATGGCCGGGTAAGAAGCCCTCGTCGCTCTTCGCCAACAAGTGCAACAACTGCAAGAGCAACATCGGGCCCACCAACAGCCGCGTTTGGACCGCGCCCCACAAAGCCCTGCTCCAGCGGGCGCCACCACTCCTGTGACCACCGAAGACACGGACGTACGTCACGTCATCGTCGAGCTCCCGCCGTTTTCGGTGGGGGCGCCCGACGTATGGTTCATCCAAGTCGAGGCTCAGTTTTCTCTGGCGCGCATTGCGCAAGACCGCACTCGTTATAATTACATCGTCGCCCACTTGGACGCTCAATTCACCAACGAGGTCCACGGTATCCTCGTCAACCCACCAATGACCAACCGGTACTAACGCCTCAAGACCGAACTCGTACGCCGCCTGTCACCTTCGGATCAACAGAAGTTGTGACAACTTCAGTCCGCCAAGCTTGCCGAACGCGAACCTTCACAGCTGCTCCGCCACATGCGTGCTCTCATGAGCAAAATGGATGTCCCGGATTTCTCGCTGAAAGTGATTTGGATTCAACAACTTCCACCGCATGTCCAAGTAATTTTGCAGGCTCAGTCCAGGTTTTTTCCCAACGACCTTACCGAGATCGCAGACTGCATCATCGAGGTCTCTGTGCCGGTCTCTGCCCACCATACAGGCTGTCACCGCACCCCTCATTACAACAGAGCTTGCGCGCCGCATTGACAACATCGATCAACAACTCGGCTACATTGAGTAACGCGTAGGTGAGCGAATTTCAACGCGTCAGCGATACCGATAGCAAAGCAGTGACTGTGTCACCGCCTCGTCAAAGCAGCCTGGAGCACGGCCAGTGATACTAACATCGGCACTTCGGTGACAGGGCCCGGCAATGTCGACCACCCTGCTTCGCCAATGAGAAGCACTAATGGCAGCTGGTGGAGACGACCAAAAGCTGCCAACCTGGAGGCCACCGCATCTTCGTCGCCAACGAACTCGCAAAACAGCGGTTCCGACATCTGCTGCTACCCGTGGTCCCACCTTCAAGGTCCTCGCCCACCAACATCTTTCAAGCTCAGCGCGGCTAACCGGTCCACATTCAAGACGTACGGCTCACTGTGCCTCCACGTTCAGCTCAAGAACATACGCCGCGACCTTCACTGGAACTTTGTCATCGTTGACGTCGTCGAGCCAATCATCGCCTCAGACTTTCTGGCTCACTACAATCACTGTCCGAACTGCCGCAACGACCGGCTCATCGACGCGACAACAGGACACCTCACACCTGGCTAGCGGACGACCGCCTAACAGCCAAGCATCAAGGTCCTCAGTGTCGACAATCACTCGCTGTACCATGCCATCCTCGTCGAGTTTCCTGGTTTGACGCGCCCCAGCGGACTTCCACGCACAGTACAGCGCACCACCATGCACTATATCCGGACAACTCTGCTCCCCCCCCCCGCACGGGTCACAGAGCGCATGCCCCAGAGCGCATGCGCATAGCCAAGGCAGAGTTCGAGGCTATGCTCCGAAAAGGCATCGCCCGTCGCTCCGATGGCCCATGGGCCTGGCCACTTCAACTTTGTCTCGAAGAAGACCGCTAGCAGGCGACCATGTGGGACTACCGCACCTTCAACACGCGCGCACCATCCCAGACAAGTACCTTGTCCACCAAATATAGACTTCGTCTAACGTATTCACGGCTGTCACGTCTTCTCCGTGCTGGAATTGGTGAAGGCTTACACGCAATTACCCGTCAAACGGGATGACGCCCCGGAAACTGCATTCATCACCGTTTGGCCTGTTCGTGTTTTCCTTCATGTGCTTTGGGCTAAGGAACGCAGGGCAAACTTTTCAGCGCTTCATCGACGAAGTCGTTCGTGGCTCTGACTTCTGCTTTGTCTATCTTGACGACATATTGGTATTTTCACGTGACGCCGAAGAACACGCCGGGCACCTTCGTCTGTTGCTCCAACACCTCAACGACCACGGCCTGCTCGTCAACGTCCAGAAGAGCACGCTCGGTGCTGCCACCCTTCATTTTCTCGGCCACGAAGTTTCATCAGAGGGAACTCGACCCTTGCCTGAACGTATCTCTGACTTGCAGAAGTATTCTCAACCCTCCTCCGCTAAAGAACTTCGCCGTTTCCTCGGCCTGCTGAACTTCTATAGGCGTTTTTTACCACACGCCGCCGACTACCAAGCGCCCCTTCATGATGTCTTTGCTGGTCTACGAGGAAACCAACCCGTCACCTGGACACCGACTTAGGTGCAAACTTTTGAGGAATGCAAGGCTGCGCTCTGCACCGCCACGCTCCTCTCTCATCCCGTGCCTGACGTTCCCTTTTGACTCTTCACGGACGCCTCTGGTTTCGCCGTCAGAGCCACTCTCGTGCAACGCGTGGACAACTCCTGGCACCCATTGGTATTCTTCTCAGCTCTGAAGAACACCCCTTCAGTGGCCAGTTCCAATGACGAAACCACGATCAAAGCACCTTCAAGTTCGCCAGCTTACTACCGAGAACGTCTGGCGATATACGAAGCAGTTCAGCACTTTCGCCACGTTCTCGAAGTGCAACACTGCACCATCTATACCGACCACAAGCCTCTAACCTACGCCTTCTCTCAACGCCGTGACAAACTCCCGCCTGTTCAGCAGAACCAACTCTCGTTCATTGCACAGTTCACCACCGACATCCAACATATCGGCGGGAAAGACAACGTGGTCGCCGACCGCTTTCACGTGTGGCCACCATCAGCTCAGTGCAAATAACAGCAGACATCTTCGCCGAGGATGCCGAGCTGCAGGAACTTCTCAAAGGCATGTCCTCACTTCAGCTAAAAGAAGTCCCCCTTCCAGGGTCGGCAAAAACAATCTGATGTGCCCCTATGCCATCGCCGAGGTCATTTATACCAGCTCCACAACCTCAGCCATCCCGGCATACGTGCATCTACACGCATCGTGGCTGACCGCTATGTCTGGCCCTCCATGCAGCGGGATTGTCGCACGTGGGCGCGCTTCTGCATTCACTGCCAACGCACTAAAGTCGCCAGCACGTCACGTCCCCACTCAGAACATTGCCTCTGGTCGTTTCGAGCACGTTCACCTTGAGATCATAGGACCTTTTCCCCCGGCTGGACACTACCGCTACTGCCTCAACGCCATCAACCGTTACACTCGATGGCCCGAGGCATGGCCCCTCGAGGGAATCACCGCAGAATCCGTCGCCTCGGCTTTCTGTACTGGCTGAATTGCTCGTTTCGGCGCCCCCCGTCGTGTAACCACCGACAAAGGACGACAGTTTGAGTCGCACCTCGGACTGACTATCGGTTTTGAACGCTTGAGGACCACCAGTTACCACCCAGTGCGCCAACGGAATGATCGAGCGTTTTCACCGACGGTTCAGGCAGACATTATGCGCCATCCGGAATCAACCTGGCTCGAGGCCATCCCGGCTATCATTGTCGGTCTTCGCGCCACCTTCAAGCCGGACATCCTCGCTGCGCCAACAGAGCTTGTCTGCGGAGAACCACTCCGTCTCCCAGCTTAACTTCTCGCAGCTCTGCCATCCAGCACATCGACGTCAGACCCCACCGACTTCGTCGCTCGGCTCTAACGCACAATCACCGCCTTACGCCCATCGCCTGCCGCCCACCACAGCAAGCCTACACCTTTTGTGTTGAAGGAGCTGACATCGCGCACGCACGCTTTCCCCCGCGATGACACCATCCGCCGGCCCTTCCAGCCACCCTATAGCGGGCCCTACCTAGTAGTACATCGTGACAAGACTATCTCTCTGCGCCTAAACAGGAATGACGTCTGCGTCTCGATTGACCGACTCAAGCCCGCATACATCACGGCGAACGAACCGGGCAGCGCCACTCGATTTTCAGGCATACTTCCACAGCCACCGACATCGCAGGCCGCTCCTTTCACGACACGATCAGGACTTCTCGTACGCCTACCAAATCTTTACGGACCCTGAGGGCTCTGCTCTCCGTGAGGGGGAAAGGGGGGGTGATATGGCGACCACTGCGCACAGTACTGCGCATCCTTTGTCTCGCCACTGATAAGCCCTGCGTGACACGGCCACTTGCTGCAACAGGCGCGTCCGATTACGGACAGCGCCACCGTTCTTTCACCGGAGGCTGACGGCACCATAGACGGCTATATAACCAAAGCTACCTTGCAAGCTTGGTTTGAATGACTGTTTCTCTAAACGTTCAAGCGCGGCATCGGCACGTTTGCCCTGCTGTTGCTACCACGTTAATAAACGTCGTTACGTTGAAGGTTGGGATCGTTCCTTCACTGACTCTGCATCTCACGCATACTTCAGTGGGTGGGGGAGGAGCCTAATCCCCCAACCCCTCCCCGTGGCTACGCCACTACCGTACCTGTGCGATATATGGCATTCCTGTCATAGTCAAACCATGAAATAATCCTGTCCACGGTACTGCCACACCGCATTCTAAGTCCTCATTCCGCGATATCTTACTCTTCGTAGTGCTTTGTCGACCGATTAAGGGCGTTCCAGACTCATAATCACATCTGGAGCCAGGCGTCGGAATGAAACACCCATATTTACTCATTCGAATTTGTCCCAGCATCGTCCGACGCTCAGGTTATGGCTATGCAAATTTCGGCAATACCTTTCGCAGAGGACCCCAAATGTTGCATTCGTATAATGGTGTAACTGTCTGTTCAAGCGCACGAATAAACAGAAAGAAAGAGAGGACAAGCGCGTTCTCGCAATTAAACAATTTATTAAAAAGGGAAGAATATTGTTACGAGTAACTTCTTTAATGATCTATTTACAGCGCACAGAACTCGACGAGTAAGATGGCGCCAGACCAGCATCCAACGGAAAAACCCACTTCGTCCTCCTCTTTCTTGCAGCCGTGTTTAGCCGCATTTTCGTATCATAACCCCCGGTGGTAGAAGCACCGTCCCGGTGCTAAATTTACGCAGATGATGTCGAAGGGGGGTAATAGGGCTTTAGCCGAGCCACGTGAACGGTGTCGCTCGGAGCTGACGATGACTTTGTGGGATCAGTTGGAACAATCTCGTACGTGACGTCTGTCACTTTGCGAACGATACGGAATGGTCCAGTGTAGGGCGACAACAGTTTTTCCGACAGTCCCACACGCCGAGTAGGTGACCAGAGGAGCACGAGAGAACCCGGAGAAAAGTGCACGTCCCTATGGTGAGAATTGTAGAGCTGTTTTTGGCGCGCCTGTGAAGCCTGTAGATGGTTACGGGCGACTTGGCGCGCGTGGTCGGCGCGGGCAATGGCTTCACCAGCATATTCAGTGGCCGCAGATAGTAACGTGTCTAAAGGTAGAGTTGGGTCCCGGCCATATAGTAGGTAGAAGGGCGAATATCCGGCAGTGTTGTGACGAGATGAGTTGTAGGCGAACGTCACATACGGCAAATGAATGTCCCAATCGTGGTGGTCTGGCGCAACGTATTTGGCAAGCATATCGGTTAGGGTCCTGTTGAGGCGCTCCGTGAGGCCATTTGACTGGGGATGGTACGACGTAGTAAATTTGTGCTTGGTATGACAAGACCTCAGGATTTCATGAACGACAGCTGATAAGAACGTGCGACCACGGTCGGTGAGAAGTTGACGGGGAGCACCATGCACTAATATTATGTCGTACAGCAGAAAGTCCGCAACGTCGGTAGCGCAGCTGGTCGGGAGTGCTCGTGTGATTGCGTACCGCGTAGCGTAGTCCGTGGCAACAGCAATCCATTTATTTCCGGCTGTGGAGAGTGGAAAAGGGCCCAACAGGTCGAGACCAACTCGGAAGAAAGGTTCGTTGGGAACGTTGATCGGCTGAAGGTAGCCGGCTGGGAGGGCAGACGGCGTTTTGCGACGCTGACAAGGCTCACAAGCGGCGACATAGCGTCGAACAGAGCGGGCAAGTCCAGGCCAAAAAACCCGACGTCGTACTCGATCGTACGTGCGAGAAACGCCCAAATGGCCCGTTATGGGAGCGTCATGGAGTTGATGCAGGACAGAGGAACGCAGGTGCGCTGGGATGACAGGAAGTAAGTCTGATCCGAAGGAATCAAGGTTTCGGCGATATAGGATCCCGTCTTTCACCAAAAACATTCGTACGGACGCGTCGCGTGGCGTTGACTCCAGTTTGTCAATGATGGCTCGTAAAGAAGCATCCCGACGTTGCTCTTCGCCAATGTTTAACAGCTGCGACACGGAAAAAACGTCCGTGATAGCGTCGGTATCGGTTGCTTCGTCAACAGGGTAGCGGGATAAACAATCCGCATCCTGATGTAATCGCCCTGTTTTGTACATTACAGAGAACGCGTACTCTTGAAGGCGTAGAGCCCAATGAGCGAGACGTCCCGTGGGGTCTTTCAGGGAGGCTAGCCAGCAGAGCGCGTGATGATCCGTGACAACACGGAATGAGCGCCCGTACAGGTATGGGCGAAACTTGGCGACTGCCCATACAAGGGCGAGGCACTCGCGCTCCGTGATGGAATAGTTGCGCTCGGCTGGAGATAGTAGTCGACTTGCGTAGGCTATAACACGGTCGTGTCCGCGTTGTTGCTGCAATAGCACAGCTCCTATGCCGTGTCCACTGGCGTCCGTGTGAACCTCGGTTGGGGCTAATGGATCAAAGTGAGCGAAGATTGGTGGCGTTGTAAGCAGTGTCGTAAGTTGCGAAAACGATGACGCTTGATCATGGCCCCAGGTAAACGACGCGTCTTTCTTCAAGAGGTCTGTGAGTGGGTGTGCAATGGTCGCAAAGTCCTTAACAAAGCGTCTGAAATACGAGCACAACCCCACAAAACTGCGGACATCCTTTGTGGTCCTCGGAACGGGAAAGTTCGTGACTGCACGAATTTTCTCTGGGTCTGGACGCACGCCTTGGGCATCGACAAGGTGACCAAGCACGGAAATTTGGCGACGAGCGAAGTGGCACTTGGAGGCGTTAAGCTGGAGTCCGGCTCGGCGAAAAACGTCCAAAATAGCTGACAAACGATCGAGATGCGAGTCGAATGTGGGCGAAAAGACAATAACATCGTCAAGGTAACACAAGCAGGTGGACCATTTCAACCCTTGAAGCAATGAGTCCATCATTCTTTCAAATGTGGCTGGTGCATTGCAGAGTCCAAAGGGCATCACCTTAAACTGATAAAGACCATCAGGAGTGATGAATGCGGTCTTCTCGCGATCCATCTCGTCGACGGCTATCTGCCAGTACCCTGACCGAAGGTCAATAGTTGAAAAATAGGTGGCACCGTACAGGCAGTCGAGGGCGTCGTCGATGCGAGGTAAAGGGTAAACGTCTTTTTTGGTAATTTTGTTAAGGTAACGGTAATCGACACAAAAGCGCCATGTTCCATCTTTCTTTTTAACAAGGACGACTGGAGACGCCCAGGGGCTGCATGAAGGCTCGATAATGTTTTTCGCAAGCATTTTGCCAACTTCATGTTGTAATATTGCACGCTCCGACGCCGACACACGGTAGGGGCGTCGGTGAATGGGGGTTGCATGGCCAGTATTTATGCGATGGGTGACAATGGTCGTTTGGCCTAAAGAGTTGCTGGCAAAGTCGAAAATGCTACGATAGCCCTCAAGAACGTGGCAAAGCGCTGAAGCTTGCTCAGACGTGAGGTCCGATGACACCATTCGCTCAATGTCAGCACCCCAAGAACGTGATGGAGTGGAACCACTGACTGAGCTGCAGCAATCGTCAACTCTGAAGGGCTCGACATGGTCATCTTGGAGAGCAGTAATTTTGGCCAGGGAGATACCCTGTGGCAGAACTTGGGTGGTGACTGAAAAGTTGACCAGTGGAAGGAAGGTGCGGTTTCTCTTAATCGTCAGAATCATATGCGGCACAGCAACCCCATGCGTAAGCATCACTGCAGGAATCGGGGCCACCATGTAATCACCATCAGGTACTGGCGGCGTGGAGGATAAGTCGACATGTGTGACGGAGTTAGGAGGGAGACGCGTGAAATCAATGCAGCAGAGGCTGGTTTGCGGTGGGCTAGGCGGGTCGGAAAAGAGGGGTAAATCGAGATGGAGAGAGCCAGCTGAACAGTCTATGAGGGCAGAGTGCGTGGCTAGAAAATCCATACCGAGAATGAGTTCATGAGGGCAATGTTCGATAACGGCGAAAAGAACGACAGTGCTTCTCTCCCCAATAGACACTCGCGCAGAGCACATGCCAAGAATTGCGGCAGTTCCTCCATCGGCGACTCGTACAGCTCGGTTGAGGGCGGGCGTGACAACTTTTCTAAGTCGGCGGCGAAGGTTAGCACTCGAAATGGACACATGCGCGCCAGTATCTATGAACGCACTGACACGAACATTGTCGACAGTAACGTCCAAAAGGTTCCGGTTCGTTGTTAACGTTAATCGAGGATTTCTTACGAAGGTCGTCAACGCAGCTCCACCTCCAGAAGCTGCACGGCCTAGTTTTCCGGTCGGAGATGCTGCGAATAGGTCGGGGAGGCAGCACGGCGTTGTGGGGGCGACCGGGACTGACGACGAGCAGGGGACGGTGACCGGTCGTAGCGAGGTCTGCTGAGAGGTGCTGTAGGAGCGGAAAATGTGGTCGGCGTTGATGAAGAAAGTGATGGGGACGATTGGCGAGCAGAAGTGGTGGGATACTGAGGTGCATAATGGGACGGTGGAGCCCAGCGGCTGCGGCAGTGACGTGCGATATGACCAACGCGTCGACAGTTGAAACATATGGGCCTATCATCAAGGGTACGCCATTGGGACGGATTGCGTTGTATGCGAGGAGCAGAAGGGGGACGAAAAGAAGGTGCAGCAGAGTATACGGCAGGTACAGGATGTAGGCCGACATTCGATAGCTCTTGACGAACGACGGCTTGTATCAAAGAAATCGTGGTCGGGGAAGGCGTAGGCGTCGGTAGTGGCGTGGCTACCGGTTGTGCTGCCTCGACCTCTCGACGAATGATGCGTGTGAGGTTGTCACATGGAGGGGCCTGGTGGAAGACGTCGTCACACGAAGAGGTGGCCGCTGTGTTCGGAAGGCGCACGATGTTTTGGGCTACACGGGGGGCTTTAGCTTGTTCGAGACGTCGGCATTCTTTAAGGATGTTGTCGATGCTCGAGATGTTGTTAAAAACCAGCAGGTTGAAAGCATCATCGGCTATGCCTTTCAAGACGTGGTTAACCTTTTCGTCTTCGGACATGGACTGGTCGGCCTTGGAACAAAGGGCCAAAACGTCAAGAATGTAGGAGACGTACGATTCGGTAGAAGACTGGGCCCGTGTGGCAAGAGTCTTCTTCGCAGCGAGCTGACGACCAGATGAATCGCCAAACAGGTCACGTATCTTTTCTTTGAAGAGATCCCAGCTCGTTATGTCGGCTTCGTGGCTTTCAAACCATGTTCGGGGAGTGCCGTCCAGGTAGAAAAGCACGTTGGCGAGCATGAGCGTGGGATCCCAGCGGTGAGTTGCACTGACGCGCTCGTACCGCTTCAGCCAAGTGTCGAGGTCGATCGTACCATCACCGGAGAAAGTGCCGGGATCCCGGAGGTGCGGGAGTGTGACGTAGGTGGTGGCTTGGACTGACGAGGGCGGCGTAGAGGAAGTACCAGCAGTCGAAGCAGTCGAAAGTTCACCGATGGTGCGACCGCTGCGCGTCTCCATCGAGGTACAGGGGTCGTCCACCTCCACCAATAATGTTACGAGTAACTTCTTTAATGATCTATTTACAGCGCCTAGAACTCGACGAGTAAGATGGCGCCAGACCAGCATCCAACGGAAAAACCCACTTCGTCCTCCTCTTTCTTGCAGCCGTGTTTAGCCGCATTTTCGTATCAATATATAACCAGGCAATAAAAAAACAAAAAACAACGCATGCCTGTGCAGGCAAAAAAAAAAAGAAAGTGTTTATTCGTGCACTTGAACGGACAGTTATACCATGCATATGGCCCAACTAGCCCAACTTTCGATTCTGCTGCAATTCGTAAAATGGTTTACTCCCCAATTTAGCTCCCGGAAAGGTAGGGACCAAAGGCTGTCAGTTGTGCGCAGCTCGTCATTTCTTCATTTTCGTTTTTGCATTCAATGAGAAACTCGTCTTCTTTTGGACTCTTCCAGTTGCGTGGGGAGGGGACACTGCGTTGAAAACCTTACGCCACCCACGTGCTCACGTCCACGTTCTCGTCATTCGTCTTCTCATTCATTTCGATTCATCGGCGTCCCAGGTGCGACGACATCGCGGCGACCGTGCTCGAGATCCCGTACAACTCGCCGCTCCTGGAGTCCCTGGTCGTGTTCCTGCCGGACTCTCCGTTCGGCGGACTCGCGTCGCTCGAGCGGAGTCTCTCCAAGGACAAGATCATGGAATGCCTGGACCACCTTGAGCAGCGGGGTCTCGTCGATGTGACGCTGCCGAGGCTGAGGCTTTGCTGTGCCACGGACTTCGCTCGACTTCTGCCTTCGATGGGTGTTCGGGACGCGTTCGGAGCCGCGGCGGACTTCTCCGACATGACCGGAGCAGGTGCGCCCCTTTTCGCGTTACGGCTCTCCGTCTCTCGATGAGAAGTTTTCCACATTTTAAGCCGGAAACAAGGAGGGTAAACTGATAATGATGAAACCAAATGTAATCGTCATGATCATCTTTCAATGTTATGGCCACGTGGCAATCGGTGCAGAAAGCTTAATAAATGGCCAGAATACGCTCCCTCAGGGAGCAAGGGGGCATACACAGTAACTCAAGATACGAACTTTCGTACTGCACCACTTGCATGAAAATCTGGACAATAGAAAGAAATCTTCTAAGCTAACAAAAACGTCTCCTGGTCCTGGGGAATCCGGACGGATTTCTCTGCATCATCGTACTGCGAGCGGGTGCACGGCTGCCCATCTCCATATTTATATGGTAGGCGCATTACAATCTCAATTTATTCTTCGAATTTAGATTAAACGAATGCACGGTTGTTCTTTTCATTCTGGCGTGGTCGCGTCGTATTCGGAAACGTGTGAAGAAGGGGAAATTGCAAGAATGTGTATCCTTACTTTCACAATCTTTGTTTAGTGCTTAATGTAGTAGTCCATTTCGGTCAGCAATCGTATCTCGGCCATAAGATATTGCACCGCGTTCGCCTCGGTGAATCAGTGGCTAGGGTGCTCGGCTGCTGAACCGAAGGTAGCGGGTTAGATCCCCGCCACAGTGGTCGCATTTTGATGGAGGCGCGATGGTACAGACCCGTGTGCTGTGCCATGTCAGTGCACATATGCCAGATCGTAAAAAAATTTCCGGAGCCCCATACTACGGCGTTTTTTCATGAATATATGGTGGTTTTTGGATGGGAAAACCCCACCTTTTATTATTATTGTTCGACACAGCTCCTCAACCATGGGCGTAGCAAGGCTTTGCCTTAGGGGTGCAAAACTATTTTGCATTGTAAAGGGGTACAGGGGAGTGGGCAAGCGCCTATTTTGTCTCCCCTTTCCTACGCCCATATCTCGTATACGCCGTTGCAGACTATCACGAAATGGGGGTTGAAGAGACCTCAGAAGAGTCAGAAATATACTTATTATGAGCTTCTGGCTGAGACTACCTTTATTTGGGCCGATATCCCGATGACCAACAGATAAACGATTCACTCAGGATGAGAATGATCATACGCGACAGCGATGAGGATGCATTACGAAAGCATTATGTTGATGGTAATGTACAGGTGAAGAATATCAGCATGATAAAAATGCCTACAATGTATGCACTCTTCAGCTCGCCATCTTTCCAATCTTTAACATTTCTATGCGAAACAGGTGCTGCAGGACGGCTGAAGGTGTCGGCCGCCAAGCACTTCGCCGTGTTCCGGCTGGGTCTGCGTTCGGCGGCGGCGAGAAGTGAGGCGCGGTTGACCGGTCTTCCGCCCATCGCCGACTGTGCGGACGGCCGCAACCTGGAGTTCACGGTGGACCGACCCTTCCTGTTTCTGGTGCTCGGCAAGGACCCCAGCAGCGTCGTCTTCCTGGGCGCGGTCTCCAAACCAAGCGTCTAGGGTGGCTTGTCATGTCCTCCGAGATCCTGGACGCTTCCTGACGCGTCGTCACGAAGGCCGTGCGTGGGAAGTCGGGTCGTCCACCTGCCGGCGGCTTTCTACTCGCCACGCGTTACTCATGAGCCGGGCGCCGCCATCTTTGTGGCAGCGCGATGCGTTTGTTTTCCGCGGAACTTTAATTCAGTTACGTTTATAATTTTGGTGAAATAATTTTCAATTTATGCGTCATCTGTTTCACTTGTTTCAGCAAACGTTGTGGAAAATTCTGCAGCGTTGTATGATATGTTTCGTTGTTGTGTTGGAAGAAATGGGTTGCCTCAGTGACGAAGTCAAAACAAATAGTTTATTTTTTTTTTAGTGTATTGCCCTTTGAGCGGACTGTCCCCCGAAAGGCAATGCCATTCGCAGCGAACTAACACGTTCGAAAATTGTGCGCGTCGGATAACATGCTTCCTTGTGTATTTCGGGGATGCTCAAAATTCGTGTGACTCTATTAACTCCAATAATATTTGGCACACAACCCATTAAATTCTTGGCAGCGAAATGACTCAACGCGGCAACAAACTTATAGAGGCTTGTAGTTTTGTGAATGGACAACCCATTGTCGAGCTGACAAATCATATATTCGAGGCAGCCCGTTAGCCTGCCTTGCAAGTGGATATTGTCATCGGAGCCTGAATGCGATTCTTCGCTGGCGCTTGTTACAATGACAGATACTGAGTCTGTATTTTTGCACCTGTGACGCAGCTTTTTGGCAAGAAAACGTGAGACATATGGTATCGACGTTTTTATGTACACTTCATGTAACGATTACACGTCGACGCTTTTGTCGGAAAATAATAAAGGAATACAAGAGCATACTTACTCGAGAAAAATGAGAAAGAAAACAGAGCCGCAGGCAGAATCCACAGGAAGGGGGGGGGGGGTGTAAGAGAGGGGGCGCCCCATTGCCGGCCATGACGAGACCAACAGGTTATTCAATGCAGAAGGCCGTTTCACACGAATATGCAGCCACTCGTTATGCTTACCAATATGTGTATCTTATTGCTACTGCATATAATGTAATATATCCAAAACTTCCGGCGAGGGCAACGTTTGGGGGAGGGGTGGGGTGCTTGCAAATTTCCTCAGACGCCCATGTGACTAATGTATGGGCTTGCTGATGTGACGGGACACAAGTGCGCAAAATATGAGGACGGAGACCAATGTGCTCGTTTGCTGTGTCAGTCTTTGTCTTCTACGCATTTACCGATCTCGAGAGCCGACGATGCGTGACGGCTTCTTCGCATAGCATAAGAAGTGTGCAGAGAGAGGCAACGCAGCGTTGGAAGAGAAAGAGAAGGAAGAGGAGGCAAGTTTGCAAAGTTGTCGCTACTCTCTCCCGCAGGAAAAGGTTTGAAGTAAGTAAGTAAGTAGGTGCTCCTAATCCCTTTTGGCACAGGGCAGGCGCCAGCAGCGCCACAGGACAAAGTTGTGCGCTTCAACGCACATCCATACACACGCACACACACATCACCAGTCAGGCGCTTGCCGCGCCACCGTCAAAAAAAAAAAAAACATTTTGTGTTTTACACGCACTTCACGCGAACACGCACTCACACGTTTTCCACTTTACTGTTCGAAGAAAGAAAGGTCTGGTAGTAAATTGCCAGTTTCGCCACCAGGGGAAACGTGCCCTCGGCCAAGTCTATCCAGTGGCGTCGGCGTCGTTTAGATATTTTCTGTCGGCCCTTCGTTGCGCTGGACACTGTCGGGGTGTTTGTCCACCTGCCAGTACAGTCTGTCCCAGAGTTTTAGACGTCGCTTGGCACTCTCGGTGTGTTCGACTCGGGTGTCGACGGGATCATCTGGGAGACCCAGATATTCCGCCAGGTTTATCTTGGGTAGGTCCCTCGCTCCGAGTCGCGGGCAATCCATCAGGATATGTTGGATGAAACTTGAAAGGCGAGTAGGCGGCGCTGCGTGCGCAGACACAGGAAAACATAAACACTGGGAAAGCGAGGGTTCTGTGGCGAAAGTGTGGCGAAAGCGTCAGTTTTTGCTGTCAGCTGCGCGTTGATTGAGCCTCCGTCCCACCGCTGTGCCTGTGGTGGAGGTCCGTATACGCGGTTTTGCGGAGTCCGCAGACAACTTCTTCAATCAAGTGACTCGTCTCACGGAACGATTTGAACGCAATGAAGTTGTCCATTGCGACAGCTGTCGCCGCGCTGTGCGCCCTGCTGGCGCTCGGTTCAGCGGCTCTCCTGGGCGCACCGATGAAGCACGACGCTAAAGACTTTGAAAACTATCTCGACGAAGCTCACTATGTGGCGGCGACGCAGGTGGACGGCCGCGAATTCTACGACACCGTGGTCGAAATCCTCGAAGCCGAAACTCAGGTGAGCCTCTCGGCAGGTATCGGCGGTTGTTCGCTGTCGCGCGCGGTTGCGACGGAGTCGCGCCACTGACGCATGATTGCATGCTCACTCACTCGCACGTGATTCTAGCGTCGTGCTATCCTTTTGGACTGCAGTCAAACGGGGTGACGGTGACTAAGCAAAAGGGCGCGACTCGCTGCCGTGCAAGCGAGTTGCTAATTAAAGACTGCGCTGTTGAGAAAGTTTGCTGGTGCGCTTGAGGTTTCGAGGTCGAATCCTTCCTATGCACGCGAATTTAAGTGTACGCATGATAGCCGACTGCACGCATGAAGAAACGAAACCGTGTTTCATACTGTATATACCTCTAACCGTTTATATATAACGCAGGGGTTAGAGACGTTAATAAGTGTACTTAAATTAAGCTACAATGAACCTGCATGATGCGCGCATGAATTCATTCGCGTGATTACATGGGTGATTCGCGTTCTTATTAGTGCTCGAAAATATTTACCGCCTCCGTATAAATAGTTGTTCTTGCACCGTTCAGATATAGCTTAATTAAATGCGCGTTATGAGGAATATTATTGAAGCTGAAATGTCGCGTTGTGAGGAATATAACGAGCTTGCAATGTTGTTAAGTCGTGAAAAACAATTAATGTCGGTCTTTCTGAGCGGGAGCCGCGACATATGAGGATTGTGCGGGTGCATGGATTGACCGTGTAACTTATGAGGACCGTTGACACCAGCGGTACCGATAACACCGGGTGAACTGGTACAGGGAGGGAACAAGAGAGAGAAAGAAATACATTTAATTTAATTAATCATGGTAGTGCAAGCTCTGATCCAGAGGGAGGCGTCCTTGTTTCAGGAGAGCCCCAGTGCTACTTGCGGGGCTCGGTAGGCCAGTTTTCATGTGATCACGCCATATCTCTTATGTCTGATCAATGTATATTGTTTTTTAGATCGACCCGAGGATGGACACTTGAAACAATTCATTAGCACATGCTTGATAACGAAATGCTAAGGTCTTCACATTGTACCATAATCCAACTCTGTTATATCAGCATGAAAAAAAAAAAAAACCTATTTTGGAAAAGTTAGATACTCACGCCACCGTTGCGCATTGTTCGTATAGAAACACTGAGCTGTGTATATATCTTATCTGCAGAATGTGCAGTGCTTGAACGCCTTATTGGATTGGCACAAGTCAAGCATATTGCAGCCTTTGTTCATCAGACAAAGGCTTTCGTGATAAACCTACTTCGGGGGAATCACCTGATGTTGAGATTCGGCCACAAAGCCCATGCTGTGCCAGAAATAACTCTCTCCAGCAGAAAGCTGGGCAGCTTTCCAATTGTAGTTGGTGTGCACATTATCGGTTCCACAAGGGTTATACTGTAGGCAGTTATCAGGCACTTTTTCATCTATACATTGGTCATCCCATGGGGTTTTTCAACATCATCGCTTGTAGGCACTCCTCTTGAGATTGTTCTGTGCTTTAAATATTATTGGTTCGCCATGTATTTCAGGTGTATAAAGTTGCATTCAGTGCTACATTTCAATATTTAATTTAAAATACCTTTAATGCATAAGCATGTGGCCAACACACCAGAAAATCCTTCTGTCACAAATCTCTCAAAGATAGCTCAGCTGGTTTTAAACTCTAATAGTAGCTTCTCAACCCTTTAATGCCTCAATTGTGAAACTACCCAACAATATAAAAGTTTTCTTTTTCCAGCCTTAAATAGCAACCTTTAAATGATTGTACCATTAGATAATCTAAAATGCAGCCATAATGCATACTTTTATGTACGTTGCAAATCCTCCATACGCCACAGAAGCGAGAACCTTGCAACAAAAAACGTACTTCATTACTACATAACATGTCATGTGCCACCTATTGGGCGCGTACGCACCAAATAAGGAAAATTATTGAAGATACTTGCGTCACTCAGGCGAAAAACAATGTAGCAGTGAGAGCTGTAGCACGCGCTTCACGATTTATACTATCAGCTTGGCAGTAAAGGGTCAAGTACAAAAAGATGCAGCGAGTCATGTCTGGCAACATTGCTAAAAAAATATTTAATAACCGATTGAAAATTCCAACTTACCCAATCCTCAACATTAGTAGTGCATAAAATATCCTAGACGGGACGGCGCCAGTTTTTTCGTGCTGAAAGCTATGTTCCCCGTGAGTACTTGACAGCCGGCGTTAAAGGTGGCATGCGTTTCGTCACTCGCTCGCTCCGAAGTCTTTCGGCATGTCGCGGATTCGCGACACTCGGCAGTAAAGGGTTAAGCAAACAAGATGCAGCCAGTCATGTTTAGCAACATTGATAAAAAAATATTTAATAACCGATTGAAAACTCCATGTTACCAATCATTAACATTAGTAGTGCTAGGTTAGTCTATAGACTATAATCTATAGAGTTTACTGTGGTGAAATCACTCAAATATCAACACCATCTTTCCTCAATTGCCTCCCGAAGCAATGAAAACATCTCAAAATGTTTTGTAGAGCAAGTAATCATAAACTTCTAAGCAGTAAAACAAGCGAAGCAGCCACTGCATCTGCAGAGGTATCTGTAGTACATGCAGATTTGTAGATGCGGTACACACCACATGGCTCTTGGCATACACCATGCTTCACGCAGCCCAGCCGAAATTTGCATGTCTGCGAAAGTGAGGCGTGTTTTGGGTGTTGTGCACAAAGGGAGGCGCCAAGCATGCCGTCATTACCACGCGTTGCCTACAGGGCGGAGGCTCCCAGGTGTTTCCTGCCCGTCTAGTTGATTTACTGGAGCGACGCCACACCCGATATTTTCCTGCCTATCGTGTAATGCAGGGCTTACCTCCGTGCCTCTTTATTTATTTTCTTTTTTTTTTGTTCGAGTCCCTCGCTTGATTTTTTTTTCTTCTGGTAGCGCTGTCGGGTGAAGTGCGTATGTGCCTTCCATTTCCTGAGACTTTATTTTTGGTAAACTTTGATTTTTTTTGTTTTCTTCATGCGTATAAAGAGACGTGGTGGCACCTTCACACACACCACACCCAGAACAAACAGGACGTCTTTGACTACTGCTGCATGCAAGGGCATTCTTTTTCGTTTCTTGTTGCTCTTTTTGTTGCATCCTTGCAGAAGTCAAACTTAGTTTAATTTTTCATTATTCCAAACATACTGCAAACCCATGACAGACCCCAGGGTGCACGTTAAAGAACCCCAGGTGGTCAAAATTTCCGGAGCCCTCCACTACGGCGTCTCTCATAATCAAATGGTGGTTTTGGGACGTTAAACCCCACAAATCAATCAACCCATGACAGACCCCAGTCCTGAGTGCTATAGAAACAACCGAAGGATTAACATGGTATATGGTATAGGTGGATGTCTGTTCTGAAGTTTGATAAAGTCTTATTTTTAATTCGGAGCATTAATGAATCGAACTTTGGCTCATTGTAGACTACACTTTCTGGTAGCTGTTTTCAAGACATATGGGTCTACCAAACTGTCAAGACAAACTGTGATAAGGAGCACAGTTTTTTCACTGTCTCTAAGCAGCAAAAGAGCTGCGAGTGCACGGCACCTATCTGGCAAAAGTCGTCAGTTGTCTTACAAAAGGAATGAAGGAAGAATAATTGTTGTACACTTTTACATTTATTGACATAGCTGCATCCCTATTACGGCTATTGCATCAGTGGGTATCGCAAATCACTTGCACATCAAAAAGTCACAATATGGCAATGCACAAACATCTCCATCTGAAGAATTGCAGTTTTCAATTGTTGAGTGCGAAAGACCATGTTTGAACACGTTTGCTCAGTTGTATGAAGTGTTAAAAGGTTTAGTCCTTGACAGCTATAAGTACAGAAAGGATCAGCAAACTCAAGATGTATGTATAAAAAATTGATGTGTGATGAGCTCAATCAGAGAGCACAGGAACTGTCAACATGGTAACGGGTTGAAAGAATATAAGATTTGCACTAGAGATGTTAAAGGAAAACAAAAAGTGTATTTTTATCTATCTTATATAATGTGCGCAACATTATTAGGGGCGAAGATCCTTATGGCGTGGCTTGCGAGTGCCTCGTTGTAATGCGTAACCACCGGGGCACATACCCAAAAGAGTGGTCCTTAGAATGTTTGCTGGATGGCGGCACTTGTATATTGTCACGTGCTACAAAAAGTCTTCAACTAGGAAGAACTGGGCCAGCGGGGAGACGCACCGAAAACTGGCAAGATGGCTGCTTAAATAATAAATAACAAGCCAGAGCACGCGCTGCTCCAGAACATCGTCTTCCATTCTTGCGGGCAGCCATGGCTTGCGCTCGCCGTAACTAGTGGCCAAGTGGCATTATTCCCCCTCTGAGAAAAAAAAAGGCATCACTCCGATGCTCAGAAAGTACAAAGGCAAAGTCGGGGCGAACCAACAGAAAATATGCGCATACACAAAAAACGGCGATATGGTTCATGCGCTGTCGCACTACCGCGTGAAGTACGGCTTCAGGCGCACCACGTGGACAATCTCCGAGGAGTGCCTTCGCCGTCGTGACGAGAAGGCGCCGTCAGGGACTACCTCGTAGTTCACATCGCTCACGCGTCGCAAGACTTTGTATGGTCCGAAGTAGCGACTGAGCAGTTTTTCTGACAATCCCTGGTATCGGACTGGAGTCCACACCCAAACTTGATCGCCTGGATGGTATTCAACTTGTCGATGATGAGCGTTGTAGCGGCATGCGTCTGTACTCTGCTGGTGCGTAATGTGTAGGCGTGCTAACTGACGTGCTTCTTTGGCGTACTGGGTAAGCTGCACAGCATCAGGAGTGATCAAAGCATCACAATTGTGTGGAAGCATCGCATCCAGCATGGGCTGGACCTCACGTACATAGACAAGACGGAAAGGTGTGAATCGCGTAGTTTCCTGGACGGCAGTATTGTACGCGAATGTGACGTACGGTAGCACCTGGTCCCAGGTCTTATGCTGGACATCTACGTACATAGATAACATGTCAGCCATGGTCTTGTTGAG